GTGCAACACTTCAACACGACCAGAGGACGGGGAATTGTCGGGACTCACCAAACGAATATCTGTTATCGTAAATGTAAACGTTAACTAGGTATCGTGGAAATAGTAAACTCGGATTTTTTAATTTGTATATAAAATTGGAATTGTCTCACGAATCACATATTTGATTTAACTATAAGGGCTCATCCTAGGATGCAATCTTAGAGATGTAAATCTAATTTTTCTTATTTTCCTGACAGGAATATGAGCAAAGTAGAAACCCGAAACTAAGTATTTAACCTACGATTCCATTGAACTTTAACACAACTTGCGTTTACGAAATCTTCCTTTTAGAACAGATACCTCCATGATCAAATCATGCCAACACCCAAGTAGGTAATTTTTTTGTCCAAAAATTTGAATGTTCGCAAACGATTAGCTCAGCAGAAGGAGACACAAGCTGAACTTAAGACGGTTAAAACGTGCAACATTACTACAAAAGGTATGTGGCTCTCTAAATAAGACAGCACCGATTTCCACTGTTCATTGTTAGGTTCTTTCGTTGTTTAGTAGTAAAACCAGGAGATAGGACTTTGAAAGGAGTAAAAACCAGTGACTCACTTACGTGAGAGCACCAAGGAGCTATAGAAAATTGCCATATTTTTTTTAAAGGCATTAACTATTCTTTTCATACTTTCTTTGTTTGACTGTCATAGAAAAATTCTTGTGATTCTGTAATGCAACAACGCTGGAAACCCATTTTATAAGGTAAAATGTTTTATCAAGGTCACGGGGCATAAGAACTGGAAACAAGCACTTGTTTCTTGTAGCATATTCATAAAGCCCCCACGAAGCCCCCATGGTAGCGAATGAGAGCGCGCGTGATTCGCCTTATCTATCCTGCACATGTGATCAACCACTTAGTGAAAAGGGCCAATTCATATGTCAAGACCGATGCTGAACCTAAGGCGCAAAACAAAACCTGTATCAGCAATATCCTTAGTGAATAGATAAATATTGATTTATTGAACGCAAGATGTGGCATTACCTGCAGGTCGGCACACTACGCCAGCGTCTTTG